GCCAGAACTGGAAGCCCCATATTTCTTAACTGGAACATCAATAGGTATGAGTAATCCGTGTTGCCTCGAGTACCCAGAATACTAAAAGGACATGCAAAGATTGGCACATGTCACCAGCTGGAAGCTACAAGACCTGTCCCTACAGCTCCCAAGCTTAGTTTCATGTGGTTTTTTTTTAAATGAGATCATTCCTGAGATAGCAACTACAGATATCAGTGATTACACGCCTCTAATCTTAGCTAGCAACTGCTACTAACGTGGTAATCCACTAAAGCTATGAAATACCTCCAGTGGGTTAGGAGGCTAAAAATGAGGTTTTTCATTGTTTTTTCTATCCCTACAAAAACAGCATAAAAGCCATAAAGCCAGCTGACACAGATCACTTAATGGCTGGATTGCTTACTCTCTGAGGTCTTCAGGACTCAGTTGCAACCCAACAATAGTTTTTTTCAACTCATTATTCCACAGATGAAATAAAAATCCCTGAATATTTCTGGAGTATGTAACTTCAATCACCTGTAGCCAACAGTGCAAAAAGGTGAAGGTACTTGAAATGGAGCCTCCAAAACATCTACAGTCTTTAGTTATTTCTGAGTTTTAGATGAGCCTACGGAATTAGCACGGGTGAAAAATAGCATCTTATGCTACAAACTTGAAATAGCCATTGGTGCAGTATTTGGAAGCTGACTAGGCAAGAGCCCTTTTTCCCATTCACAAGGTATCAACCTGGAACAGCCACATAACTACAGTGTCACTGACTCCTGTTTCCTTTCAGCTGCAAACAAGCTGCAGTCAGACCTACTATTTCTGACCCCGGTTCTGCAGCTGAAGCCACCACCAGCTCACGGCACTAACTGTGCTGCAAAGCTCTTGTCACAGCCAGCTAGCAGAGCTGGTGCTAAGCAGCCAAAGCATTATCTTATTTTTCCTGGTTTTACAGAGTGAGCTCAATGAGTAGATGAGACAACGCCGAGAAATACAAGGTCTTAGACTCATTAATAACTTCTCCTCTAGTTCAGGAGGTTATGTCCTCAGTGTTACCAACACATGCAGACATCCATAGAAAAGTTAGCCCATGCAGAGATTCCTATTACTATGTCTAGATGAGTTCCAGTATCCAGGTTGGTCCTGGTATGTCATTATCTACAAGACATAAGCCTAAGGGGTTCTGTAAAGACAGCATCACTACAACCTCAAAGCAATCAAGAATGAATAAAAACATTAAGTTTTCACCTCTAGTTAAAAAAAGACGTTCTCTGTCACAAGTCAGACCCAACAGAAGTCTGTATGGGCAGTTCAAGATGCTGGAAGACAGTTTTGAGACATTTCTCCCCTCTCTGTGGGTCACATTCAGCAGTGGCAATTCCCCTACCAAAGCACCAGGACACCTACTTGCACAGCAGGAGACATTTGGCTACTGGTTTTCATGTGCCCTGACGCTTCCAGCTCCACCTCCTCTACAGGAGAGCAGCAGTTTGCAGCTCTAAGCACTATAGATCAGCACAGAAACGACCCCTAGATGCTAGGCTCTAAGTGCTGGCCAGAAAACCATTCTCTCTCCTTTGTGGCAAAGGTATAAAAGTCAGCCAAACAGGCATCTCAAGGTACAAAACCAGCCTGAAAACTCAGTTGCATCATTTTGAGTTAAAAATAAACCCATTATGGTTAATCCCAGGAACAAAAGTTTTTAAAGACCTGTTCCTTTAGATACATCCCTGGGCTTCCTGTGAGGACAATTTGCACTGATTCAATTTTTGAAACCTATACAGTCACCTTAGATTTTATGCCTACCAGCATAAAGTTTGAAGAATCCACAACTCAAACCCTGCAAGAGTTGGCACCACTCAAAACAAGAAGAAAATACAGGACAAGACAAGGGGCAGAAATGACCATCTTCACAGAGACTAAAGCAACAGCCTGCTGTAGAGAGGGCAGGGATGTCCCCACTCCGGGCAAGGAAACTTAATTTTGTCAATCAAGAAGAAACCATGAATCTAATAATTACTGACCTACTTAAAGCCAGCCACAGCCACCTTTTCCTGTAAAGTTAAGATTTATATAATCCAAGAATAATCTCGAAAAACACAAATTAAAGCAAAAAGATGCTGGTAGCTGTTTTGAGCCTCCTCGTAATCAGCAATTGCAGCAGAGAGTAAAAGACAACAGTAAAAAGCAGTGGTGGGCATCACGAACCAACTTTAAATGTGTCCACCTCCCCCAAAGCAACTTGAAGAATCATGACATGTTTAGAGTAGTTTTGTATCAACCATTCAATCTCTTCACTGTTACACACAATTTATTTTTGAGAGATTTTGCTGTAAGCTGTGAGACAGGAGATGGAAAGAGGACTGCAAGCTCCAATCCTCTGGAAAAAAGTTGTAGCTAATATCAAGTTGGGTCGTATTTTAATAGGACTGACTAAGCAGAAGCAGCACATTTCCATCTGTATCTGCAAAAAGAACAACGAGCACTGTCCAACTTTTTTGTTGAGTTTCCCTAAATTAAGCAAGTTAAACGCAAATCATCAGGAATTGCAACGGACCTCTAGTTATACCAAAAAACAGGTAGTCACACGAGTGCCAGTCCCTGTTCCCACACTCAGCACAAGGGAAACGCTGAAGGATAACCAGCCCCGTTCACAAAGAGCTCCCTATTTGCATGCCGGTACACATCCACTCCATTCCCGCTTCCAAAAGTTTCTCAGGACCTCAAATGGCGACCACTTCTCCAGCTCATTCTCCAAGGACGAGCTCAAAGAGGGCTGTGCTTGAGAATTTAGGAGCAGCATTCACACAATTTAACACAGAGTGCTGACTTCGAGTACCAGCTCAGCGTAGCTCAAGCTGTAGTAAAGCAACAGGAGTGATGAGAAAGCAAGCGCTGGCTCCGGGGAAGAAATTCTCCTCCAATTCCGAAGAGGATGAGGAGCGCCGGACTCTTGGCAGGCAGTAGCCCAGCGTAGCTCACTTTCTCTTGACATCTGCTTTGTTTTTTTCTAGGTGATGTTACAACACAAGTATTGTCACAACATAACTTGGTAACATCACAAGATCGAAGTGCGCAGTGTTGGAATTTATTTGTGCATATTTAAACAGGGTTGAATGGAGAAAGACATTGTTTTTTCCATTTGCTGCATCCAACTCCTGTTTTAAGCCAGCTGCTTACTCTAAAAGTAGCAAAATTACCCAGCTATCAACATCGAAAAAAATTAACAATCTTAAAAAAGGAAATTTGCATCTGTTGAAACAAAATGCATATTCAAGAGACCAAAAGCAAAGTCACCTTTTTTGTTCCCTCTCAACTATTCTGTACTTAGCAACCAGTATTCTTCAACGCCAATTTCTTAAAAAAAATATTTAAGAGACAACCCTTCAATGAGTTCAAAAGAAAACAAAACACACAATAACCAAGTGACTGTTCTGTACGCCTTACTGTTGGCACGAAAAATGGTAGGATGGATTCTCCGTCCATCTTAGATTGACATAAATAGTGCCGGAGTTTTTCAGCTACGTAAATCGTGCACTAGTTGTGAAGCTTCGAAAGCACACTCTGAAAAATGTTCCTGCCTGCGTAATTTTGTCTTTTTTTTTTTCTTGCTCATCTTATTTTGGGGAAACTTGTACATGATTTTTTGGGAAACTTGTGTATGATTTATAGTCTTTCCTTTCAAACCTAGGGTTTGTGCATCTTTTGAATAAAGGGAAGTTGCAAGCAGTTAAGTATCTGAAAGGAAGCTTTTTCTGGTTTTAATTATACCCTTCCACATTCTGTGTGAAATATTCCTTCCATCTATATTTTATTCACGTAGAGCTCTAAACCGAGGTGCTCCCATACCATGTTTTTCCCCCCTTTAAACAAAATGTCAGGAACAAGCGCTGTCTAAAGACAAAGGAAGGGATGATTAAGAGAAATACAAATTTTAATAATACTCATCTGAATTTTTACAATTAAAGCAGTGGTATTCAAAGAAACACGGAACTGGAAGGAAATTTGTATTCAGAGGAAGACCAAGCATAGATTTCTGTCTCAGCCTGAAATTCAATGCTCAACTTAATGGAATCTGTACTGAGCCCTCAGAAACAGCTTTACTTAGGATACTACTCCAACACTGGGATTTTCATAGCCTTTAGGCATACACCATCTTTCCCAACAGAAGGGTAACACAGTTACTTGCTGACTGATCCCACATCCTCAAAAGCTGCAGCCCATTAACTGATCACACACACTCACTTAGCTGGTACTCACTTTGAACTTTCCAGCAGGTTAAATTCAGTGGAGAAGTCAGTCTGACTCCCTAACTCCTAGCAGGCTAAGAGCACTTAAGCAGTCAGTAACATATCTAATTACTAACAGCACGTCTTAAAACGTTACTGTCTAGCTTAATTGCTGGCAATTGAATGAATGAACGGCAAGTTAATGACGGTGAACCACTGACACCAGGATCAATACCCGAGAGAGCCAGGGTGACAGGCAACCACAACATTTCTTGAAGTTTAGTATCAGAAACTCAAACTGTTTGCCATCACGTTCATCTAAACAAAACCCAGACGCACCAAGATGCCTTTGCCACTGGACAGCTACTCCCAAAGCTGATCCTCCTTTCCAACTTCTCCCAGGGAAACTTTTAAACAGATGCTTGTTCCCACACCTAGAGATACTACACATTTGTTGCCCCTGCTAAATCACTGGTCTTCCATGCAACTGGTAGGACTGTTCCCTCAGCAGACGCTTTGCCAGAAGCAAACAGTTAAGGTTTATGCTGCTGCCTGTTGAGCAGCTTGTGAACCCCCTTCTCATTTAAATGTCACGAACCCATAGAAACTACGTGCATTCCCTCTTTTTGCCCTCAGTCGACCATCCCCATTATCAACTGAGCAAGTGATCTCTGCCAATCGTCACCAGAACGCCTGTACTAAAAGGAAGGTTTAAAATCACTGTCGAAGACACAACCCGGTGCCCTGCAGCAGTGCCATCACGGTGTGTAAAAGCAGGATGCTCACCTTGTGGCAGCCAGGATAGGTTGCCATGGTGTTGAGGGTAGAGGTGCTGGGATTCTTGCTGGTGCTGGCCATGATATTCTGGATCTGGGTGAGCTCCTGCCTCAGCACCTGTTTCTGGTGGAAGCTGAAAGCAGGGTGGTTGGATGCCATCGTGAAGAGCAACAGGAACTCATCCCCTGTACGGCCCTCGTTGAGTTGTAGCCCGTAGTTGTTGATGACCGAATCGATGTGGGTGAGGGTACGGAAGAGGCCCCCGCCTGCCTCTCGGTGGGCAGACCCGAGCAGGGCGAGAGAGACCAAAAGTTTGCTGCGTACCACCTCGTCCGTCAGGTTGGTGAGGCTGCCCAGGTCGGCGGGGTTGTTGGCCTTGATTTCGGAGTCGCGCAGGGAGTGGTAGTCCTTGCGGGCCAGGTCCTCCAGGCAGGCGCCCAGGAAGCGCAGCTCCAGCGGGATGCAGAGGTCCAGGAGGCCGCAGAGGAACTCCACACGCTGCGGGGAGGGCAGCTCGGAGAACCAGCGGTACACGCCGT